TGCCCGCTCACGGCGCTCTCACCCCCGGCCACAATCGATCCTGTCACAGACCCTTCCCAACGTAGCCCCTGTCCCCGCTCCGGGTCCGACCCGATCGCTTCGCACCCGCCTCCCCATCCCTTCGGTACCCCCGGCCCCCCTCGGGCGCGATCTCCTCACGCCCCGCAGGACTCGATCCCCGGCCGCGCAGGGCAGGAGCTGAGAGGATCCCGTCCCTGAGGTGCCCCTCGCCATGGCAGCTCTGAGCTCTCCTGCCCCCGCAGGACCCGCTCACCAACCACAGCCCCCCCGGCACCGCCTGGGGAAGGGACACCGGGAGATGCCTACCCTCCCAGGGAGGGAGCTTCCAGCAGGCTCCATTGCCCTGCTGCAGTCAGACATGTGCCCTCCTCCTCCTCTTCCTCCTTCTCCTGCCTGCAGCAGAGCCAGGCCTGGTTGTGGGGGCACTTCCCACTCAAACCCAGCCCCTCTCCCGCTGCCCCTGTCTCCATCCCGGGCCTGGGATCCATCCCGGGCCCTCAGCCAGCCCGGGGTCCAGTTCCCACTGGGATGGGGTGTGTGGTTTGGTGGCAGGCAGCTCACACCCCTGCTCCACACAGCCTGCCCTCCCTGCACCGCAGGGCTACATGGCCATGCTCGGGGCTCTAAGGGGTGCTGCCAGCTTTGGGGTTTTCCCCGGGTCCTGTTTTCCCTTGTGGCTTTTCTTCACCTGTCTGTGACTTGTTTTTGCAGAGCTGGTCGAGGGGGATGTCGTACTGTCTCAACTCAGAAAGCCATTTGGATACTGGGCCAATATACGTGCGTGAAAATGGGAAGCTGCACATGGTAAATCAGGGTGCAGGCGGCGTACACAATGTCACTCCCAAAACAAGGCCTTTTAGTCTATTTTCCAGAAGTTTTTCAGTGGAGCTTTGCATGAACAGGGAGGACGATAGGGCAAGGAGGCAGAGGACTGATCATTTCATCTTCACATACACTAAGGAGGGGAACCTCCGCTACTCGGCCAAGTCCCTCTTCAGCCTGGTGCTGGGTTACATTTCTGACAATGTTGATCACATTGACTCGTTGATTGGTTTCCCAGAGCAGATTGCTGAAAAGCTCTTTTCAGCAGCAGAAGCAAGACAAAAGTTCACAGAGCCAGTGACGGGACTGAGAGCTCTGCAGAAGTTCACTGAAGCCTATGGCGGTTTGGTGCTGTGCTCACTGTGCTTGCGGAACAGGTAAGTGTGTCCCCTAACAAATCTTGTCACCTGCTAAGGCTTTCTGCTAGTACACTTCAATTAAATAAAAATACATTTTGGGCTTATAACACCACCTAATTTTAATTAAATGCCCTGAGCCTTATCTGATTCTTGTGCTTGCTGTCTTTTGTCCCATCCCTTTCCTACAAGTGCAGCTGCAGGTTTCATTTTAAGATACAAATCACAACAGAGGTAAAAGACTCTATCTGTTTTAACCAGCAGGGGATCTTATGTGGAGGATTAAACCTGCAACTGTTTTTTAACAATAATAATCAGCACTTCTGTGGAAATCCATGTGCTTAGTGCCTTCTCAGGCATTTCATGGGATGTTTCTGTAATTGCTGTGTAAAAGCTTTTGACACACTTAGCTGACTGTACAGATAAAATACACCCTTGCAAATTGTTTGTGTTTACTAACTATAACCTTGCTGTTGTGTCTCATTCTGGGGGCTCACAAGAAGATACACACTTGTGGGTAAGTTGCAGGCTTTGAAATCAGGCAGGTTTTACATTGATTTATTGTTGTTGCTACCCCCATATTGAATATACTTTAACAAGGTCCTGGTTACAGTCCAGCACTAGTTTTTTCATCTTCTCAATGCTCACATTTTTCACTGAAAGAGTCTTTCCAAGTTTAAAACTGGATTATGTTTTTAAAGCCTGAAATCTTTCCCAGTAATAGAACCTGTATCTTCCATCTCCACACTTGAAAAAGGGATGTTTTATCCAGTTTAAAATCAAAGTACTGGCATATTCATCTGAAGTGCCAAGGGTGTTCTGAGCACAGTAGGAATGTTTGACTAGAAGTCAATTATCCTTTGTTTTATCCTTTAAACCTACTCCCTTTTTATCTCTAGCGCAGATAATTTTTATGGGCCTTATTTAGAAATTAAGCTACTCCTGGCATCTTTTGCCATTACAGAAGCTGAGTTAAGTATCGAGTCTTTGAAATCCAGGAAGTAATGCATTATCTTTTTCTAATGAATTTTATTTCTAAAAGAGCCCACTCTCCTGTCCAGAACCCCCCTGAGCTAATAATCTCTCTCAAGAACTGGCTTGTGCTCTGACTCTGTGTTGTGCTTTTTGCACAACCAAGTTGCACAGGAAAGGGGTGTGAGGGGTAAAATTACACTGGGAGGATATTAAGGTCTCCTTATTTGCATGGACAAAGAGGTGTTCCTGGAGGGATCAAATTAATAATCACCCCCAGTTGATGCAGTGAAGATGCTGACCTCAGGGTGATGGGGAATATGAGGTGAATTCAGGAGAGATCAGTGAATTTGGAGCTTGTGTTGCCACAGGGACAGCAAGAGGTGACTGCAGGGGAGGAATTGAGGGCTACGTGCCCATTACTGCATACTCATGCCTGCCATTCTTCAGTGGTTTGTTCCCATCCCTAAACCTCCCACTGAATAGCTCCAGCACAGATGTTTGCGTGGCTGCTGAGTGAATCAGACCAGGGAACCAGCACAGCTAAAAAAAAACCTCACTGAGTAACTGCTGCCCGAGGTGTAGCCACAGCTCTGGCCAGTCCTGGACTTTTACCCCTTGTCAAGTATTTTATTGACGTATATAAAAAGTAAAATTTTGCCACTGAAAAGCTATGCTGTCCTCTTTAAAATCCACATTTGAGGTGGATTTTAAACCTGGATGAATGTGGGTTTGTCTATACCCTGCCTAGACACCGAGGAAGAGCAGTTTGTGAAGCTGACTTACGATAAACTGCGATATTTTGCAGTATTCTAAAATAATACAGCAGTAATCTGTAAAGAGGCTCCTAGTAGCAATATTTTCAAGTTGAAGTCTTGTTAGTCTTGTTTTTGCATCAAATCAAAACCAAAAAAAGTGATTTAAGGAGAAGACTGAGAATTCAGACATGTTGTGTGCCAGCTGCACATAAAGAGGTGCTTAGTGCAGCTGGGTAATTTCTGTCAATTTTCACACAGCTACTTAGCAGAAATGAGTGCATTGTGCTTATGACACTTTGGGGATGTAGACACCTCCTTACATGCCTGAGCACTGAGGGCTTTTTTTTTTTTTTTTTTGGCTTTGCAGATACCTGGTTATCTCTGAAAAGCTTGAAGAAATTAAGTCTTTCCGTGAGCTGACGTGTTTGGATCTCTCCTGCTGTAAACTTGGAGATGAACATGAGCTGCTGGAACACCTCACCAAAGAGGCCCTGTCTAGGTACCAATTTCTTGAGCTAAAAATGACACTTTCTTTCCTACCACTGAGCAGTTCAAAGGATCGGGCTGAGACTTTAAAGGGAAGTTTCACAGGCTGCAGAGTGTAAGGTTGAAGGTTTTGGTTGCTCATGAAACCTGTTCAGGAGGTAAACAAAATACAGAATTTATTTTACACAAAGCACATACCGAATCATAAAAAGTACTAAAAAGATGCAAGATAATTTACTGTCTCATGTTTTATATCAACTTTTTATAATTTTCATTGTCAGGGTAAAAAAATGCATCTCTAACATTTGGAACAGTTTTACATTTCCTGTTTTTAAGGGAGAACTTTATCAGCCAAATTTTTAACCAAACTAGTGTTCTAAATGAAGATTTCTGCAAGCAGGAAGTTGAATATTTGGTTAGTTAACATCTCAAAACAGTAAATTTTGTAATTTTGTTTGGTACCAAATAATGACAAGTAGATCATTTGGAAGCAATAGGTAGGACGACTGCTAATTAAAGATATGTTAGTGTAAGATTTTGGTGCATTTTTCATCAAGGTTTTGTCTTGAATACTCTGAAGAGAGCACTTTAGTGTGATGCTTTTTCCTGAGTTTTGTTAATTTATGTTACAATACCTCATTATTTTCTTAAAATCATTGCTGTATCACTTATCAAATTTGCCCTCTCTCATTTTGCCAAGCATTTTTTCTTAGCTTTGAGTGCATTTCAGTTTGGCAGCCTCGGTATAAAGAACTTCAGGGTATAAAGAAGCTTTTTGTCTATGTTGGCAAATGTTTGGCTCTAGGATCAGTTTGTCACTGGAGTTGTGGGAATGGCTGCTCAAGTAGTGCTTCTGTTGAGCTAGCAGGGAAATATAACGATATCTGTTAGTCCTGCTAACCCAGGCTCCTTTCTCAGTGCTTTTTACAGTGAGCCTGTAGGGGCTGGCACAGGATGACCCTTCTGACACAGAGTTTTAGGACATTTTGCAGAACTGTCAGAAACAATGACCATGAACTGCATGTTTGCATCTCTCCTGCCAGTGTGAAAAGGCTTCTCCTGAAGGACAACTCCCTGTCAGATGCCGGCCTGCGCAGGATGACAGCGCCCGTCCGTGTGCTGAAAAAGGGCCTTGAGAATCTGCTGGTGCTGGACTTGTCCTGTAAGTGCTCCATGGTTTCATCACAGAAAGAACCTGTGTCCTTTTTCTGATAAAGAATTTATCCTCCTTAGCAGTGAAGGAATATGGTTAATTTGTTGATTCCCATGAGCCAGATTTCACCAGCAGCCTGCCAGAAGGCACAGGGCAGACCTGTCTCAGGCATTTGGTACTTACATATGTATTTTTAGTAGTTTGAGAATTGGTATTGTAAATGTTTGTATTTTGATAATTAGAGGGGGAAAGCCAGTCTTGTTCCAGTATTAGCTTTTGGAACAAATACTTCCTGGGTATTTTGATCATCTTTTTCCACATCATGCAACTTAATTAACTTTACTTGGCCTTACAGGTAACCCTAAAATCACAGATGTGGGAATTGGATACCTTCTTTCTTTCAAGAAATTAAATTGTTTGGACATTTCTGGGGCAGGTCTCAAGGTAAAAATCATCAGGAAAAGTTTACTGGACAAGTGTAATAGAAGTTCTTGCCCTCTGACTGCTTTATTTCCCTTTTTCCCAGGATGTTGATGCTGTTATAAAGCGGCTCCAAACGCAGATAGGCCTGGTTCACTCAAAAGTGCCTCTGAAAGAATTTGATCACAGTAACTGCAAAACAGAGGGATGGGCAGAACAGGTAAGGGGGGTTAAACGTGTTTTACTCTCTAAAAATTTGTCTTATAGAAAACAAATCACTGAATAGGAAAGAACAAGGGATGGATTTGTTTCCAATGGTAGTTCTGTAAATTTTACAAGACACATTTTAACTGCTTCATCTGTTCTTTCAGACAGTTCTGCAGTGGGAACAGGCAGTTATGGAGGCCATGAAGCCCCAGGACAACTTGAGATCCAGAGTAGCAACTCTTCACTTCTGTACGTAACTGCATGGACACCGGAGTTAATTTATTTTCTTTTCTGCAGGGAATATTTCCATACTTTTTGGGGTTATAGTACAAATAGTGGAATTTCAGCACTTTGTGTAACTGCATTACAGTGTACTTGAGTTTTTTCATTCATTAGATTGCTGGATAATTCAAGTACAGGACATATAACAACAGAGTTTTTCCTTAAAATTCTGAGTCCAAAATATAAACAGTATTTTTCCCTCTGCACATATCCAAGTTGGCTTGGCTAAAACAATTTGTACCACAAAGTTACACATTTTACAGCATAACTGTGTTTTTCCCAAAATCTAAACTTGATTTTTTTGTTTTGTTTTGTTTTGCTTGTAGATGGCAAGACACACAGAATAAAGGAAGTAGTCAAATGCACACTGGTGGAGCCAGAAACTAAAGCATCTGGAAACTTGCAGTTTTATAAGGAAAACGTTCAGAATTGCCATTTACCTTTGAAAAAGGAGGTTGCAGGCAGCCATGAATTAAAGAACAATAAAAAAAGAGCTTTGTCTGAACAAGAGAGAGAAAGGACTTCCAAACAGAAGCATCTGTGCCTCACTGTGGAGGACTGGGATTTGTTAAATACCTACTGAGTCAGAAAGAAGTGTCTCTTTTGTTTGTTCTCTTGCTGATGACAGGATTTGGACATACTGAGAGGGAGTGACAAAGGAGACAAGTTAAATCTGGTTGCTGTGACATGCCTGTGGGGTAACCTGTGCTGGGGAAGGGATAGAGACAAGAAGGTTGGTAATGCTACTGTATATTTTCAATACATAATAATTTTTTCAAATAAAGTTTTTGTTGTCATCCTTAACTACCTCTTCTGATGAAGGTATTTCTTACCAAAACAGCTGGTCCTATCCCTGCTCCTCTCCTGCCTCTCGAGGGGCAAGACATGAATCATTGCAGCTCATCTGAAATGAAGCTGCACTGGGCTTGTCAAGTGCCATGGGATGTTTACAGTGCTGCTGGAACAGAAACCTCAGCCCAAAAGCATCAGGCTGTGCTGATGGGGCTGTGGCAAAGGGAGGGAGAACAAAGGATAAGCACAGACCTCTGGGAAGGGAGGCAGAGGCAGTATCACCTTGCCAACAGCCGTTGCAGAAGCCCAAAGTGGAACACAAGTCCCCTTTCTTTCTCATTTTAGCCCAGGAAATGAGAGCTGGAATGAGGTTACTGTAGAGATTATGCTCTGCAGTTGTAATACATTCTGCCTTACAAGCAAATTCACTGCATTTGACATCATTCTGTGGTTTAAAAAACATTTTCAGTGTGCCTGCAATACACTAACTGTGCTTCTCCAGCTGGAAATATTGAGGGGCATTTTAAATTCAAATATTGATTATTCAGATCAGCTATAAATCACCTGAACTCTCAGACCTGTTCTGTGTTGGTCTGTGCAGCTGTAATGCTGCAGGTAACTGTTTAACATTGAATCCCTGCCCTGAGTGTTTCCATCAAAACTGGCTGAGGTGCAGAGTGTTCATCATTTTCCTCTTGGGCCTCATGAGGCCAAGGATTTTCTCCAGGTTTCCTCTACTAGTGCTTCATCAGAGGATATCTTCTTTTTACACTGCTGTTTACCATAATCCATCACCAAGAAAAGCAGCACATCCTTGGAAACCATGAAGAGGCCAAGAAAATGAACTTCAGCTCAAAAATGCATAAAGAACAAAACCCCTTTGTCTTTTCCTTACTGCAGAATTTTCCTCAAAAAAGGAACACAAACAAACAACACAAACAAAACAGGCAACACGAAACACTTGCATTCAAATCCTACTTTCTTTTCCCAGAAACTCAAGGCTATTAATACCTTCCCCTGACAACTACATCAACTCTCTGCTGAGACAAATAATGGCACAAATTGTGACTCCAAACAGTGGCTCAGAGGGGAGGAAGATGTGAAATCTTCCCCCTCAAGCTGCTTCTGGTGCCACCACGGAATTTTTTGCCACCCCCCTTCCAGCACTGGAGATGTGCTGATCTGACCATGGAGAGATGCACATTTTTTTACCAATCCTATTTTTACCAATCCCATTCCCTAAGCCCTGTGCTAAGCATGACTGTTCTTGTATTTGTTTTTTAACAGCTGATTAGTTCAATCCTTACTGCACGGGGACAACATTTCATAGGCACAAGAATCCAAGCTGTGCACCCTGGCCAGGCCTGGAGAGGGACAGGTGAGAAAAAGAAGCTTTAACATTCCTCATGCAGGATTTTGCCATCTCATTCCAGGTGAATTGTGAGTCACAATACTGTAAAGCTATTTATAAAAAGATTTCTCCGATTTCCAGCTATATCCCAGTGACAAATTAGAAGCAACATTCACCATTGATCTGAGTTACAGTGACAGGCAGAGCTGCAGATCACAGGACAGAGAAGAGATGAGTGAACAGGGGTTTATTTTTAAATATCTGTGACCTAGGGTGGCAATGGGAAAAAGATCACCTCATGTTTATTTTGGGCCCAGAAAAGTAAGAGTACTCACTGTAAATGTGGGGTTTTCCTCGATGTTTTAGACACAGATGAGATTTTCAAAGGAGCAGAGAAAACCTCAGCTTGCTTAAATTTCAGTGTCATGTCCATACCTATATCCTGAGGACTGCTTCGAAGGCTTGACTGCCTGACCCTGCCTTACTGGCAGAGGAACAAAACAAGGAGCAAACAGATCCAGTGTCATCCCACACCACCCTGGGAGCAGCAGTTGATTTTCTGCTGCTCTCTGCTCCAAGGCTGAGACTTCTTATTCCTCCTTTCTTTGCTAATTTCAGTGAGACCTCTCCCATCTCCATGGCTGTTCTCAACCTGCTGCTGCAAAACTGCACAGCCCTGAGTGAAGAGCAGGTTATTTACATGCTGGTTCCCTGCCCTGGCTGTCACAGGGACATGATTTATCCCCCAAAACCCTGAAACTTCTCCAGTTTTCCATGTCATTACACTCTCTGTGTTGGCCTTCATGGTTTGAGAAGGGAGCAGGAGGTGGCCTGAGCAGCAGCTCCCCACGGTGTCACTCCCAGCACAGCATTCCCAAGGAAGTGTCCCGGGAGCATCAACACAGAGCCCTCAAAGTCACTGCTGAAACCATCTGCAGATGTGTTCTGAACACAAATAGAAGCTTCTCCTCCTGCCAGTGAAGATCAGGACGATGGAGATGTGTTGGAGGCTCACCTCACTCAGCTCCTGCTGCTCGGGGCAGTTCTCAGTGTCCCTCCCGTGGCTCACTCTGGCCCCAGTGTGGGCAGAGGAGAATCCCCTGGCCCAGGGCTGTGCCAGCAGTGCCTGCTGAAGCGTCTCCAGCATGGCACTGAGTCAGTGCTGCCCATGAAGGAAGCGTCACCTTCACATGGCAGCAGACTCCTGGCAGCTGTCCCACAGCCAGTGTCCAGCCAGGGGCTGCCACACACCCCTGGGCCCTGCTGGGACCATTTCCTCGGGCTGGAGCTTCCCAAGGGGGTGGCAGGGCAGGAGCCCAAGGCTCCAGGGTGACGTGTGGGAAGCGCCCTGCTGTCCCCAGCAGGGATGGGCACAGGATTCAGGCTGTGCAGACGAACTCGTCGGACCAGCCCAGGCAGTGCTGGATGCCATCCCGGCACAGCCTCCTGGGGATGCAGGAGCAGAACTCGTAGTGCACAGGGCTGCAGCTCCACCACTCCTG